GGTCGAGCCGACCCATTCGTGCTACGACCATAATATAGCCGCAGCGTGGCTCTACCATCAGGTGGACTGTGTACCCGTTTTTCAGCCCTATTCTATAAAAAATTACTCGTTTAATCACCGATTTCAATCATTTACGTAAAACACTCACAAAAAACTGCTGTCGTGGTGGGTTAAGTTTTGTTACAGCCAGACGCTGATGTAGATAGGTTTACTTTATGCATCAAGATATACCGTTTTCCTAAATATGGCACGAATAGAAAGAAAAATGAAATTAGTGGTAAGATTCGTCGATAAAAATACACAGGTATTATGTGATAGCATAATCGACATTAAAAACAATATGTAAAAAGAAATCGACCTTGCTATAATGCCGTAATGCATTTCTCGCAATTTTTTTCACCCAGCATATATTAAATTTTATAACTCTTATACATAACTTTTAACAGTGGTAGAGCCACGCGGCAGCTTTGCTGTCGCACGTATGGGCTGGCTCAAACCGGGGTGGTACCACGACCTCACAGAATACCGGCGTGAAGTGGAAGCTCTGCTTCCGCGTTTCGTCTGGTGAGTGCAGGTGGCCGGAGGCCCAAATCCCCCCCCCCCCCCCATCAACATGGTAGCGGAATTAAATGATAGACTACCCCAGGAGGGTACCAGCACCCCTGGAGAATCCCTCGCTGAGCATCCACGACCATGTTTCTCCACTTCTGAGCGTGGGTGCTCAGGCTGCCCCGCGTATTCGGGGGGGGGGGGGGCAATATTCCGCTCAAGACTAAAACTGCTCGGGGCAAACGGAGCAACAAGACCAAGGCGACCCCTGCCACGCTGTCCGTGAATTTCTGCAATATCAGGGGACTTCACTCTAACCTAAACGCCGTCCACTACCATCTCGAGACGGCGAGGCCGGCTCTGCTCTTTCTGACCGAGACGCAGGTGTCCTCTCCGGCTGATGTCTCGTATCTCTCCTGCCCGGGGTACAAACTGGAACACTCCTTTGTGCCTCGGGCTGGAGTTTGCGTTTACCAGAGAGGACATCTGTTCTCAACGCCTCGGCAGACTTGAAGGTTCGGACCTGTCCATCCTTTGGCTACGCGTAGACAGCGACGACCATCCGCGCGTCTACGGGTGCCATAGCGGTAATGCCGAAACAGACCGACTCTTCGTCCACGTCCAAATGGCTGCAGATTCGTTGCTACAGCAGATCCCCTCCGCAGAGATCGTGATCCTCGGCGACTTTAACGCCCATCACGCCGAATGGCTCGGTTTCACGTTTAACCGATCATGCGGGGAGATCTGTTCATGATTTTGCCTTGGCATATGGTCTGACACAACTGGTTACTTCGCCTACGCGGATTCCAGATGTAGAGGATCATGCACCCTGTTGGACCTTCTGCTGACCTCTCACCCGGACGGATATCAGATTTCCGTCGACGCCCCTTTAGGCTCCTCGGACCATTGTCTTGTCCGGAGTGTGGTGCCACTCACGCTGAAATCGCGGTTGCATTCTGCAGGCTGCTGCCATGTTTGGCACTATAGGTCAGCCGATTGGGATGGGATGCGGTCTTTCTTTGCATCCTACCCTTGGGGGCGGGTTTGCTTCTCGCCGGATGATCCCAACGTTGTTGCGGATTCTGTCGCTGATGTGGTACTTCAGGGTATGGAACGTTTTATTCCTTCCTCTGTGGTGCCCATTGGAGGCAAATCTCAGCCATGGTTTGGTCGCTCCTGTAAAATAGCATCATGCTATAAGCAGGAGTGCTACCGAGCCTGGGCTGACGCATCAGCGTCCAGGGATATAAACACCAGCGCTCTAAAAAAAGAAGTATAATTCCGCCTCTAGGTCCTTCAAAAGAGTCATTGCCAAGGCAAAGTCAGAGCACATAGGCAGAATTGGCGAGAGACTGGTTCGTCTTCCTTCTGGAACCCGTGCATTCTGGTCTCTCGCCAAGGCTGTCCAGGGGAATTTCTGTCAGCCATCTCTTCCATCTCTGCACAGGGAGGACGACTCACTGGCCCACACCGCAAAGGAGAAAGCCGATCTTCTAGGCTCTTTCTTTGCGTCTAACTCGACTCTCGATGACGGGGGGAGTACGCCGCCGACCATCCCGCGGTGTGAGTGCTCCATGCCGGAAGTGCAGTTCACTCAGCGCTCGGTTCGCAAAGCACTCCTCTCCCTGGACATCTATAAGTCGAGTGGGCCTGATGGAATCCCCCCAATTGTGCTGAGGACGTGTGCTCCAGAGTTGGCACCGGTTTTAACGCGTCTTTTCCGGTACTCCTACTCCCTAGGCGTAGTCCCAAAATCATGGAAGACGGCTTTCGTCCACCCGATCCCTAAAAAAGGCGAACGCTCAGACCCGTCCAACTACCGGCCTATCGCCATCACCTCCTTGTTCTCCAAAACAATGGAGTCCATTGTAAACTGCCAGCTCATGAGGTACCTTGAGGATCACCAGCTGATTAGTGACCGCCAATACGGTTTTCGCCGTGGTAGGTCAGCTGGTGATCTTCTGGTCTACCTAACTCACAGATGGGCGGAGGCAGTAGAGTCCAAGGGGGAGGCATTGGCCGTTAATTTGGACATTGCGAAGGCCTTCGATCGGGTTTGGCACAAAGCGCTTCTTTCGAAGCTCCCTTCCTATGGGCTTCCCGAGAAATTGTGCGATTGGATCACCAGTTTTCTTGCAGATCGGAGCATCAAGGTCGTTGTAGACGGTGCAAGCTCCGATTGCAAGCTTATTAATGCTGGTGTTCCACAGGGCTGCGTGCTATCGCCAACGCTGTTTCTTCTGCATATCAATGATATGTTGCAAACCCGTAGCATTCATTGCTATGCAGATGACAGCACTGGTGATGCTCTTTACACTGGCCGAGCCAATATTTCTCGGGAAAACGTCTCTGAGTGCCGGGACAAACTTGTGTCTGAAGTCGAGTCTCTGCTGGACAGAGTCTCGGATTGGGGGCGACTAAATCTAGTCCAGTTTAACCCCCAGAAGACACAAGTTTGCGCGTTAACCGCTAAAAAGAACCCCTTTGTCGTATCCCCTCAGTTTCAAGGCACTTCCCTTGTTGCCTCAGCCGGTATCGGAATCCTCGGCGTCGACATATCGAGTGACGTGCAGTTTCGTGGTCACTTGGAAGGGAAGGCCAAATTGGCCTCTAAAAAGCTTGGCGTGCTCAGCAGAGCGGGACAGTATTTCATGCCGGCACACCGCCTGCAACTTTACAAGGCGCAGGTTCGGCCGCTCATGGAATACTGTTCCCATCTCTGGGCTGGGGCTCCCCAGTACCAGCTCCTTCCACTTGACCGCATCCAGCGCAGAGCGGCTCGAATCGTCGACGACCGAGTGCTTTCCGATCGGCTCGATTCACTGGCGCTGCGAAGAGATGTTGCATCTCTTTGCGTATTTTATCGCATCTATCACGGGGAGTGCTCTGAGGTATTGTTCGCATTAATCCCAGCCGCCAAATTTCGTGAACGCACTACACGGCAAACGTCCCGATACCATCCACACCATCTGGATGCTTGGCGGTCCACCACTGTGCGTTTCAAAAGGAGTTTTCTTCCGCGTACAACCTCTCTGTGGAATAATTTACGACCGGTGATTTTTCCGGACCGATACGACCTGGGGACCTTCAAGAAAAGAGCTTACTCCTTTCTAAAGGGCCGGCAACGCACCTGCAATTCCCCTGGTGTTGCGGTTGATCATGGGCGGCGGTAGTCACTTAACATCAGGTGAGCCACATGCTCGTTTGCCCCCTCTTCTATAAAAAAAAACTCATCTTTATACTTAGTACTTGCGTTTTTTTTTTCAGAAATATGGTTATGAAGAATTAAGTAAGGTGTGACTCCGAATGAAAGTGTGATTGATGAAATTAAATAATAACATAAAGGTTTGGCTTGCCATGCGATATTGTAACCAGGATTGAGAAAATAATCGGCATGGGACTTCTTAGAAGCAAGTTCATCAAACAAATTTGTGAGGTGTTAAAAACGGGCCAAGTTAAGAGTACCCTTAACCGACGAGCATGTATGTGTAGATATATGGACGTGAAGAAGCAAGATAAGGTGTGTCAGAATTGCGCTAAAACAATATCCGTAGTCTCTGCCTCCCTCTCTGGGTGACAAGCGTGAGAGTTTACGTTTTTTGTTTATGTTCATTTTTTATTATTTACTCCCAATTATTTTCAATATTATGTATCATTGCTTATTTGCGAATATATTAGAAAATATTACGTAAGAATTATATGTTTATTACGCGCAATTTGAACCACTCTAAATTTGTCAAAGCTGTATGACTTGTCCTCTTTGATATATCTATTAAGTTCGGCGTCCGTGCACACACGTTGATAAACAAACATTCCACGATTAATATTTATGTGTGACTTTAAGATGTTAGAGGAAGAATAAATAGGGTTTAATATACCACAATGTGTATCTACTTGACAATTAACCTATTTTCCTCCATATTTGTTATCATCTTGTGCATTCAAGGAAATTTTTATGTTCAAAATTTGGTGTGCTAACATTTTAAAAGTATCACTTGCATGGGTTGACCTTATTAACACTTCCAAATATTTTTTTTTAAATATTGAACAATCTCGGTTTAATTTTCAGCATGGCTTATAATCTTCTTTATATATCAAATTATATGTGGAATTTACATACTGCGAGTACTTTTAAGTTGAGCCCAAATTTTTTTTCGCCCATTTGAAACGTAATTCTAATCTTTTTCTATTGAAAAAGGGTATAAAGAGTCCTTTATCAACAAAAAAAATTGGAAATCGTTTAGGTAGAATTGGAATAGATCTCGTTTAGTTATTTCGGCGTCTCACAATTTATCTCCTTTGAAATAAATTTTATAATGAACACGCGTAATCGAATATAGAAATAAATTCGCATTTGTGGTCCGCAATCAAACTATTGTTCACTAGTTCGCACCATACATTAAAGTAAAGAATATACAGCTATATTACAATAAAATTCTAGAATCACTTACCAAAAAGAAAGGGTGGTCAATGGTCGACAAGAGGCTGCTTGCATCAGACATAGGCGTGCCCCAAAAATCGTTCAAGAAAAGTTCCTTAAAAGAGTTTGTTCCTATTACATCACCTTCGTCACTGTAGAAGGGATATCATCACGGACAAATCACCGTTCAAACTGTTCACATAACTAAGCACCGCAGTTATTATCACCATAACATAGATCAAGAGATCACTGGTACACATGCTCCTCTTCTGCTTATCTTCGCGAACGGTAGGCAACGACCGCCGCTTCATCTTCGGGCTCTTTTTCAATTTGACTGTTACATTCCTACATCTGCACATCTGTTTGATTTCTGTTAAATTTACTTCGCTGCTTAGCAGTATCTGAAAAAAAAAGAACCTTATTATAATTTTTAACTTCAATAATCTAAAGACAGTTTCAGCCTAACATGATCTTAAGATGAGCTCAAAAGGGAAAACTTCGTAAAAAAAACTAATAAATATTTCAACTTTAGTGAAATTTACCATCTCGCTTTTGAAGCACCGTTGCGAGTTCCAATCCATATCATATATGTATAGACCCTTTTTACTGGAAACGAGGCATTCCAACTCAGTCCTCAGGGCTGACCTGGCATCTGCATTTTGGTTTTTAATTGAAGATAAATGTAGATGTCTATGGGCCACAGCATCCACTTATGTTTAGGTGGACTGTGTGCTCGTATGTCACCCTTATTCTACGAAAAAATACATTTAATATGTATTTCTTCATAGAATAATGTCATGAATGTACAAGTAGTCGCTTCACAATGAATACCTATATAGGTTTAAATACAAATGATAGGTACTACATCTATCCATTCATTCATTTACAAAGGCTATGAAATGTCTACAGCTGAGCGTAGATTACCTTATAGATTATCTCATAGAGTAATATTTGCCGCAGGCGCCATGTCCATCAGGCAGTTTGGCAAGCGTATTTTTAAAATTATTTGAGTGGTTATCACAAAGATGCTGCTTTTTATATAATAAGGGTGACAAACGAGCACACAGCCCACCTGATGGGTAAGTGGTTGCTGTGACCCATAGACATCTACATATAACCTCGATTAAGAATCAAAATCAGAGGGTCTCCGTTCTCATATGAGAAGACTGGACATCTCTTGTTTCATTTCCCTCTGCGGTTGTTGAACGAGCTAATCGTTCACCTGACAATAAGTGGATAGAACCAATTTCAAACAAGGAACACTACTTTTGTAGTGCTATAGGCGACAGTAGCCTCATGGCAGGGTACGAAACGCGAACTCAAAAAGTCGTGAGTTCGAATCCACCTTTCGACTACTGTGGGGAGCCACTTCTAATACAAACGTTTTCAGCTTACCAGAAGTGGTTAAAGGGAATATTAGTGATGTTGATAGCATTTATAAAAAAAAACTACAGATGCGTTATCATCTCCGAAGACATAACCTATATCCCTAACAGATTGCTTTGATACTCAAAATTCATATAATTATTAGACCCGAACGTGCAGTGGAGGCACTGCTACTTGGTGGTACCTCGTACGTAGACGTACTTTGCGGAAGATATTGCCTATTAATTTCAAAGATCGACGCCTTTGACGCTGCCCTGAGAAAATCTGTTTACTTTATTTTTTTTTAATTTTATTTATATTGGACACAGTTAAATCTTTAAAAGTAAAAAAAAAACAATTTATTTGACTTAGGTTTAGTTTTGACATTTACCGACAGGTATCACTGTTCACTGTTCATCTATACTATCATCTTTTTATATAAACGAAGATGTCCTGAGTGAACGACTGGTATTGACGAGTCCATTCATTCATTCATCCGTCCATTGGGACGCCCAGCCCAAAGCGCCTGACATAGAAATCTGAAACCGTAACTACCTTTGACGTAGGCATCCACTTAGAAAAGATTTTGTTGAATTCGACTCGAGGGTGAAACAGGCTATAACATTTAGTATGAAAATTTTATTTAACGGGGTGATTGACTCGATAATTACTGAAAGTGCTGTGTAAATAATTTATTGTATAAATACTTTGCGATTTCTCAAAACCACAATTTACGGGTGTAAATTGTGGTTTTGAGAAATTGGGCGTTGAGCAGATGTTGTGAAATTTTCTCTGCAAAGGAATGTTTTGCGATTTCTCAAAAAAAGTCCTTACTTGTGGTTCAGTGGATTTTCAATTCTGTTATGAAACAATATTTAATTCTTTAAAATAATAAAATATCCGTTATACATTTTTTTCGAAAATGTTCCCTTATGGTTTTAAAATATGGGTTCAAATTTGGGCATTTGTATTAAATTTTGTACAGTAGAAATATTGTACAGCATAAACCCCTGAAATTGAGACAATTTCTTTTATTACATAGCAGTCCACTACGAAAGGATTTTGAAAAATTCAAAGCCTCAGTTGACCCTGAATAATAGGGTTTTAGGATTTTTTTTCATATTTTATAGAGAAAAATAATGAAATAAGTTTTGTTACATTACAGCCCTTCACAAGTCCACAGCTGAACATAGGCCTCCCCCAAGTAATGCCACAAAGCAAGGTCCTGAGCCACCTGCATCCATCAACTTCCTGGATGTCTTACCAGGTCGTCACTACATCTAGTGGGGGGTCACCCTATACTTCACCTACTGGTACGAGGCTGCCACTCGAGAACCTTTATTCCCATCGGTTGTCGGTTCTTCGAGCTATATGGCCGGCCCATTGCCACTTCAGCTTACTAATCAGTTGGGCTATGTCGGTTACTCTGGTTCTACTGCGGATATGCTCATTTCTGAGTATATCACGCAGAGAAACCCCGCGCATAGCCCTCTCCATAGCTCGCCGAGCGACTTTGAGCGCCCCCATACGGCCAGCAGTGAAGGACCAAGTCTCGGTTCCGTAGGTCATCACTGGCAACACGCACTGGTTGTACAACTTAGTTTTCAGGTTTTGAGTTATACCTGACGAAGATGTGTCGTAATTTTCCGAACGCTGCCCAGCCGAGTTGAATCCGTCGATTGACCTCTCGGTCGAAGTTGGACTTACCTAGTCCCAGGTAAACGTACTCATCAACAACTTCGAGCTTAGTGCTCCCAACAACTAACGGCATAGGTGTGACATGGACATTAAACATGATCTTTGTTTTGTCCACGTTCATCTTAAGACCTATCCGTTGGGAGGCACTATTGAGGACATTGAGCATAGCGCTTAAGTCCTCCAGCGATTCTGCCATAAGGACTATATCGTCGGCAAATCGAAGGTGAGTGATGAACTCGCCATTGATGTTAATACCGTATCATTTCCAGTCCAGTAGCTAGAAAACGTCTTCCAATGCAGCGGTGAAGAGTTTCGGGGAAATAACGTCACCCTGTCTTACACCTCTCTGCAGTTGGATAGGTTTCGTACTCTGGTTCTGTACTCGGATAGCCATCTAGCCCTACTATATAAACACTTCAGCACTTCGATATACCGACAGTCAACTTGGCACCGCTGAAGAGATTGTAGCACCACCCGAATTTCGACGGAATTCTTTCTCATAGTCCACATATGCTAGGCAAAGTGGTAAATTGTACTCTTCGGAGTTCTGTACAATTTACCGAAGGGTATGTATGTGATCTATGGTACTAAAGCCTTTTCGGAAACCGGCTTGTTAGGAAGGCTGGAAGTCGTCGAGTCTGCGTGCGAGACGATTCATAATTACTCTCGAAAACAGCACGTAGACGCGGCTCAAAAGGGATATCGGTCTGTAGTTCTTCAAGAGGGCGTTGTTACCTTTCTTGATGAACAACACCAATGCACTTCTGCTCCACACCTCCGGAGTAGTGCCACCATGGAGGACGGAATTAAAGAGCTTCTGAAGGACTTCAGGTAGCGGTTTCCCACCAGCTTTCAGAAGCTCCGCTGTAATTCCACCCTCGCCCGGGGACTTGCCGTTTTTTAAAGTGCTGGAGAGCCATTCTAATCTCGCTCAGACTGACGTCCGGGATATCATCGGAATAGTGTCGGATAAGACTTGCTCTTGGTTTGTTACTCGCACTTGCGTGTAGCTCCAACGATGATGTGTACAGCTGCCCACAGAACCTCTCAATCTCACTCAGAATCTCAGTTGTCCCGGAAACGATGATGCCACACTCAGTCTTCAGCTTTGACAGTTGGCAGTATAGTTTGTCCAATTCATTTCTTAGTCCGTTTGTGAGTCGGTTCATTAATCTGTTTGTGAACCAATCTATTTGATCGACATATTTCGTCTAGATTCGTGTCTTTCTGGTTCTTGGCGCCATTAAAATTATAAATAAATCATGATCAATATCATAACAAACGAAGGCGCGGAGACAGCTAGTCTTAAACGTATTTCATCTTTACTAATAACACTTTTAACTGCATATTATTGTCCTAGTTAAACTCAGTTTAACTAGGACTGCAATTTATATAACACTAGAAATTATCCGCAGCTTCGCCCGTATGGAGGTCAAAAATCACTTCAAAAAATCACGAACGATGTGTTATTCCAGAGCCTAAAGTCGCATGAAGAAGTAATAACAATGCAAATAAAGTTAATAATATCACTATTACAGAATCATGCTTCATATCAATCCCATAGAAACCGTACATTTTTCTGGTTATAATCTCACGCATAGGTCACTGCCAGACCAATTAACGATCTGTACACAAAAAATAATGTTGATCCATTGCCCCAATGCTGCGTGAAAGAACGACAAACCGAAACTGACAAACTCGCATTTATAATATTAATATTAATAGAGATGCATTTTTAAGGATGGGAAACGAGCACAGTCTACCTGATAGTAAGTGAATGATGTGGTCCATAGATATCTTTGGGAGTGCTTTCAGCCGGGATGGCAGATGTGATTTAGATGTGGACAGGCGTGTCGCTGCCAGGAACAAAGTCAATGGTGCCCTGAATGCGTTAGTCAAAAGGCAAGGCGTAGTGAAGAGTGCACGCCTTGCAATACGTAACGCAGTGTTGGTACCGACTTTGTTATATGGCAGCGAAACCTGGGTATGCCAGAAGAAGCATAAAAGCAAGTTGAATGCAGTGGAGATGCGATCTCTTCGTAAAATGTGCGGCGTTACCATAGCCGACCGAAAGCGAAACGAAGAGATTCGCAATATGGCAGGATTGAAAGATGACCTTATCACAAAAATTGATAGGGGCGTACTCCGATGGTTTGGGCACGTTGAGCGAATGAGTGAAGACCGAATGGTGAAGAAAATATATAGCGCGAAAGTAAATATAAAAAGGTGTCGAGGTAGACTGAGACTAACTTTCGAAGACCATGTGAGCAAATTACTCGAAGAGGGGAAGGTCAAGAGTACTCCGATACCTAGACGTGCATGTATGAAGAAGATAATG